GTCGCACGTGGGCTGAGGATACCACGAGGACACCTACTTCTACGGGGATTCCAACCGCTGACAAAGATTGCAAGCTCGGCGTGCAATCCTTTCGGCCACCGACCGAACGGCTGCGTAGCTATGATGATGGATGGTTTGTAGAATTGATGTTTTAAATCTGTACGGACAGCGCACTTTGAAATCACACTTAACATCTTCAACGGAGTAACGTAGGTTTTTATAGCGTGCTAAATGAACGGTTCTGGTTACTCTTAGGTGGCACAACGATTTGTAAAGATCCTGCAGTTTCTTGCCATTAAAATTTGAGGCACGCGAGAAAGTGCGTCTACGACCTGATTAGCCCCATTAGATCTGTGAACTAAGTCGTATTGGTATGCACAATTCCAGTTGCCACTGGATTTTGTCGTTCCTAATTTTGATTATTTGACCGGCATCTTACATGAAAGCTACAGATCGCTGATCAGTGATAAGTTTTAACTGTGTTCTAGGGAGATAGTGTGGCCACTTTTTGATAGTTTCCACATTAATGTACACCACTTTTTCAACAGCTGGATGATGTTTCTCACTGGCGAAAGTTCTACATGAGCTTTCCGTATTGTAAGGAAACAAGACTCCTTACCCGACGACTTTCATCGTTGCTGAACGATAGAGGTAACTCATTGTTGACTTGACTCGCTTCTCTATTTAACACGATTTGGAACACTGAAGAGGTGCTTTCGGAATAGCGATTGCCAGCTGTCATGCCCGTGTTCAAGAAAGGTTCGCGAACTTTGTGCGAAAATCATCGGGGCATTAGCCTTGTTTCCATTTCCTCCAAACTTTTTAAGGACATCATTTTTCGACGACTTACTGATCCCCGTGAATCATTGAAAGCCAGGCTGTCTTCCGTCCTGGTCGTGGTTGTATCGACCACATATTTACTCTTCGCCAAGTTTTGGAGCAGAGACACATACAGACAACCGACTATGGTGGTTTTCATTGACCTGAAAGCCGCTTTCGACTGTTGACCGCATCAGATTGTCGCACTGTCTATCCATAAAGGGCGTGCCGGCTAAATTTCTTTCCATCATGCAGTCTACTGTGACTCCCCAGGCCGTTTAAGGGTCGACGGGAACTGTCTCTTGTGTTCTCCACGAAAAGTGAGCTTCGGCAGAATTGTCCCACATCACCTATCATCTTCAACTGTGACCTAAATGATATATATATATATATATATATATATATATATATATATATATATATATATATATATATATATATATATATATATATATTTATATATAATAACCGCCTACAAATAGACATAAAGCCATCAGAAACCATGGGACTAAAAAGAAGGTACAGAAATTTTAAAAGAAAACACAACATATCGGCGACTATGGTTTCGTCAGAGGGCGAGATACTACCCGGTTGCCCAAGCCGAAGTAGGATGTTGACTTAGGGGACGCCACCCCGAGCCTTTGGCCGAATAGCCTGCCCGCAAGCCAGCAGAGCGAATTCAGGGAATCGCGTCCATTGGGAGCCGGTGACTGATTGCTCAGTTCATATGCCTTTTGTTTATTCGTTTGTCAAACGGGCCCAATGCTCCCCAGAATTACAGCATAACATTGCTGGAATACAATGCTTCGCTAGGATGAAGCAAGAGGCAGTGACTTTATTTAGTGGCGAGTCACATCTACCACGTCACAGTGTTGTCAAACGGGCATACGTGGCTTTTTAGTGGGAGAACGCTTGCAAGGCGAAAACCCACAACGTCCTGGAACACTGCTGCCGAACCAGTGGTGCTGATCAGCTGGAAGAGTTTGCGATAATTGCCTACTTCTCTTGCCTCCATTTCTTTTACCCACTTGGTCCACCAGACGTCCTTGTCAGTACGCAGTCTCCACTTTAGTCCCCGCCTAATAGTCGGATTAGTCACAATGTGCTCAGAGCTAGCAGGGAGGTTTCTTCTGGATGCCAACAGATTCACTGACCTCTCGGATATCCAGTGACTGGTGTGGTGACGATTGATAGGACCACAAGCATATGCTTCTATGTCGTACATGGCGGTCGAGATCCTATTCCATTGAAGCTCAGTGTCATTAGGATTAGAGAGCGAAAATTCGGTACACAGGGCATCTTGGCAGGCTTGCTTGACCAAAGGCAGACAATTTCTCAGCTGCCAATCGAGGGAGATGCTTGGTATACCTCCAGGTAAAGTTCATGGAAAAACGACAGCGTACCATGGGCATGATCAGAGTCGACGGAAGTATTCCAATACGAGCGGAGGACACCAAGTGGCGCTTCGGCGCTCACCGTGTCTGAGAGCAATGCTACTAAGAAACAACTGGTGCTCCGCACATAGTTGCAGCAAACACTCGCCGTTTTCAGTCCGTTTGAAGTTAAGCCCATAACTACCACCCAGCTATGCTTCTGAAGAGCTCATACGCTCTACTTGTGCGTTCGTATACCCTGCAAGTACTATAATATCTGAACTAGTAGCACTGCGTAGTAGCGCGTTCGGTTCGTGATAGAATGTGTCCTTGACAGCATTAGAACTGCAGCCGACGGGAGCATAAGCAGAAATCACAAACAAATAGCGTTTTGTACTACTTCGTGGATCAACCTTAGCTGATGTCGTCAAACAGACTGCACATTAACGGCTGTTCACCGGAATCCAATCAACCAACAACGACTCAGCCTTGGAGCTTAGAATGATACCTACACCAGCTTGACCCGTGAATGCTGCATCGGCGTCTCCAGATGCGTGCAACCAATAACGAGAGGATAAGCCGGGTTCAGTTAATTCAACCCCAATAGGGTCATTGATCCTTGTTTAGGACACACAACACACATCAATACCCGGTGTATCCAAGGTGCGTGCGTGTGCAGCCTGTTGGCCTATTTGTCTTAGAGTACGAGCGTTGAACGCCGCCATGGAAACTGGACAGCGTGGCCTTATAAGGGGCTGTTACCGATAGTCGTCCGATGGGTGTTGTGGTAAGGTGGCTGCAGATGCTTTTACTCCAGTGGCACTTCGGTTGCTGTCAATCAAGCTGGGAATTAATGAAGGTAGGTTAGTAATGGGGTCGGGATGGGAGTAAAAGAAACAGGTGTAAAAGAAAGAAGGGAGGCGCCAGCAATAACTTGTTTTAGCTTATCCGTCCCGCTGTATGCAACAGATAAGGCGACCCTTGATAATCTGCGCGATGGCCGATGCAGGATGTAGTTGACGTTTGATCAAAATGTCATGGTTGGGATAGTGCCAGTGCGCCCAGACCTAGACAGGAGGACGATTTGAGTCCTCAACCAAGGCATTTGACTCAAAAGCCTGTCCGCAAGGCAGCGGGGAGGTGACAGTGATTTAGTTTTACGGCAATGGACGCCATCCCATTTTAAACCCCCCAACCTGGAGGACCAGGAGACGGAGTTTTGTCTTCCCTCTAACTTTTGATCAACCTGGTAGGAGTAGCTCTCAAGGGGCCCAGAAGCACCACCCAGTATAGCTCAATGGGTCAAACAGGTAAGCAAACCGTCACATCACGTTAAGGTCCAGTCTCGTTGCGACGGCCTAGTCTCGTGTTAGGGTTCAGGTGCACAAACCGACGTATGTATGTATTGTTCGATTTATTTTATTTCATCTTGTCGTTTCAAGTGATTGGCTGTTGTTTGATATCCCCGGTGTGGCTGCGCTTGATGTGCATGTTGACAAGGTGCCTATCTGTCTATTACCCACTACCTCGTCCATACTGCCTCCAGGAGACAGTTGGTCGTTACTGGACGGGACGGGGTGCACGGTCACTGTGGCCGTGCTAGGCTCAAAGAGCGGATCCATGCACTCATTGTGTAGCGAACTACAGTCCAGCCACCGCCTTGTGTGCGCTCTATTCCCAAAATACAGCGTGCTTGTGTTTGCCTGTGAATGAGTGTGGGCCGGCTCCGTTTGTGAAACGTGTCTCCCATCCACATGCCCCCCGGTCTTATTCCTTCGGTTTTACACTGGATATGGGATGTGTGGTTGGAGCTGTGGGTGGTGCGGCGCAAACCACCCATAGTCCCTCTGTAGGCGCAGGTGTCCTGTGGTTGGCCACGGTGACAGGCAAATCCGAAACCGGATGCCACCAACCGTGTATTATCAACAATCTAGCAACTAAACGTGGAGCCAACAAAGCCATGGAGATTAGCAGATTAGGCCATGCGTAACTAATCATTGTGCCATAGTAGTTGCAGGTGAGCAACACACTTCAGCTACTATGCCACAGATGGAAAGGAAAATTTTGACAAAAAGTAGAACAATTCACTTTTAGTTTGTTTTCACATGCTGATTCTTCTTCTTTTGTCATTTTCATGTTTGAAGTTCTAAACATGTGAATCAGTACAATTCTGTACACAATTCTTCCATTGTTTTCGGTTACGAGCTATGTCTTCAAGAGTGTTAGGCCATTGGCACACCTCATCTTTGGGTCTCCATCCTGGAAGACGTACGGGTCCACCAGCGGCTAGACACGACGTCAGCGATTTCATGTACTGTCGCCAAATGGAAGGCTGACCACCACGTGGTTGCCTCCAGCCAGATCCTTGACGAGCGAATAGAGTGCGACGCGGTACACTCAGTTGCCATGCGTAGGACGTGACCGAGCCATCACAGCTGGCGCAGCAAAGCCAGTTTGTTGTAGGGAATACTCGCATTCCTCGAGATGCGATGTCGAACGTCACTACTGTTTACTCGATGTTGCTACCAAACACGAGCAACCCTCCTTAAACAACCGTTATCGAAGGCGGAAAGACGACGCATGTCTTCCACGTAAATCGGCCAGAACTCGCTCCCATACAACAATACTGAGCGAACTGATGCGCTGTAAACACGGCCCTTTAGTGAGAATGAGACGTCGCGACGACGCCACAAGTGCCTCAGATTGTCAAATGCTGATCGGGCTTTAGCGATGCGAAGAGAAACTTCTTTGGTGATAATGCCGTCAGCAGAAACACAGCTCCCAAGGTAAACGAAACTGTCTACCTGTTCAAGTTGTCCACATTTGAGAGTGAGCACGGGAGCAGGTGAAAGCCAAGCTTTGAGCAGTACTTTTCACTGGGGCGAAGCTCATGCCATACTTAGATGCTTCAACCGCCAAACGATCCAGAATGAGTTGCGTACTCTGAGGATCGTCACCAACTAAGGCGATATCATCAGCATAATCTAAGTCGCTCGCGCACTCACCCGGTAGAAGCTCTAAGCCAACATGTTGGAAGTCTTTCAGAGCACTCGACAGAACGTCTTCGATTGCGAAGTTGAAGAGGAATGAGGACATAGGGCGGCCCTGTCGCACACCGCTATTGACAGCGAATTTCGAGGAAAGCTTGCCATAGATCCTCACTCTGCCGGATGTATGAAACAAAGTACTCGTAAGATGGCGGTATATTTCTCTGGCACCTGGATCTTTCGCAAGCAACTCCATAAAGCAAGTCGATCAACGGAGTCAAAAGCGGCACATATATCTAGAAATGCAACGATAGTGATCCTGTGATAACTGTGTCGAGGTTCGAGGGGTTGGCGGAGCGTGAAGATTTGATCCACGCATCCGCGGCCAGGACGGAAACCAGCTTGTTCTTCACGGTAGGATAATTCACGTATTAGAGATAGTCTACGGAGCAGAATGGATGCCAATAGCTTGGAGGCAACCGAAATAAGACTAATCCCGAGATGATTTGCACACGAAGTGCGAGCGCCTTTCTTAAAAATCGGTACAATAACTGATTCGTCCAAAGAGGAAGGCACTTTCTCTTCATGCCAGCTTTTTGCGAACAGCGCGGTCAGCTGGTTAATGATCGCCACACCGCCGTACTTGATCAGCTCCGGAGGAAGTCCGTCTAAGCCAGCAGCCTTGAAGCGCTTCAAGCGTCGAATCTCGAGGTAGACTTCTGCTTCGCTGGGTGGATTCAGTTGGACGAGCTAGCGTAGACAACAAAGTGTACTGCAGCTACTGATTGACGGTGGAGGCCAGTTGAACTATGGGTGAAAGTGCACGGCCCAGTGGTCCATACGCCTCTCTTGGTTGGTGGTTGGAGACTCATCCACCTCGAAAATAACCTCACTGACACCAGATTTCCTGAGGTTAGTGGACCGAATAAGTTGGAAAAGCTTGCGAGTGTTGCCAGAGAGGGCAGCGGTCTCCATCTTTAAAGCACGTTCAGACCACCATGCCTCGCGATCCTTGCGTAGGCTATGCTTGAGCAGCCGGTTAGCAGAACGGCGCCGCTCGTTGCAATTTGACTCCGCCGGGATATCTTTGAGGCGTTCGAACAGCTCCAGAGAACAAGCGGAGAACCAAGCCTTTAAGGAGCGTCGAGCTAAGCCGCAGCTTGACTGTCCGGAAATGGTCATCGCTTTCTGTATACAAGTCCATTGTTGCTCCACGTCTTGCTGTGGATTGCAGCTGGGTGCGTATGCCAGTGAAGACTGATAGCTCGCGTGGACAGAGGAATCAGTTAAACTGTTTACGTCAATGTTGGGATGCTTCGTTTTTCAGGACCCCTAAAACACATGCAGATTTTCGCGCAGACCAGGACATGATCTGAGTCAACGAAGGTGGACCAAAAGGACCTGCAGTCTAGTACGGTGCCACGCCATCTGAATCTAATTGTAATGTGATCAATTTGAGACCACTCTTGTGTTGGCGAAGGACGCCACCTTGCGTAACACTTCTTCTTACGCCTGAAATTAGTGATCGAGAGAAACAGATAATTGTCTTCGCACAATGTGAGAAGCCTCTCTCCGGTATCAAAGCGGTTTTCATCGAGTGCGTGCTGACCACCAAGGTGGCGTTCATACGGTAACAGGCGGCTAACCCGTGCGTTAAAATCCTGAGCTAGGACAACGACCGACTTTTTAGCATTTGTCATGGTAGAATTCGTCCTTGACTGAGCCGCCCCTGCAGTCAGTTGGAGCGTACACGGAGATCACAAACAAGTTGCGTCTCTCTTCGCGGAGCTTGTTGATTCTACATGAACCCCGAAGCCGAACTGCACATAGTCGGCTGTTAATCGGGAACCAGTCTAGTAGTGCCGCCTCGGCCTTGCCACCTAGTGCTATACCTACACCAGCCAAACCAGCTGAGGCTGCTTCTGGATCTCCAGAAAGACGCAGGTGATATCTGGCTTCGTGGTCAGTGGGGGATGTCAATGTAAGCACAGTGCTGGGATCTTGCAATCGGGTTTCTGAAAGGCTGCAGACATCCATATCGAGGGACTCTAGAGTGCGCGCTAGACTGGCTTGCTGTCCAATCTGCATGAGTGTCCGAACGTTGAAGCACGCCAGACGGAACGAGGATCGGGGACGAAGGAGAGCCATAGGTTGAACTCCGTGGTTCGTGGCGCAACCGGAATCGCAGCCAGATTGTTGAACACATGAATCGGGTAACGGAAAGTAATGGTTGTTAGCAAACAAACAATTGTCTTGTGAGAAGCAGAAACAGTAGCTGATATGTACGTTGTAGTACAGTCCATGGTTTTGCAAGAGGGCGTTATACTACCCGCTTGCCCAAGCCGAAGTAGGGAGTTGACTTAGGGGACCTCATTTCGAATCTTCGGCTAAATAACCTACCCGCGAAGCAGTGGGCCGAATTCAGGGAATCGCGCCCATTGAGGGTCGCTGACTATGTTCATTCCATGCGTCTTTCGTTTGGTAGATCACCAAACAAGGCCCAGTGCTCCACTTGAAATCAGCACGATTGCCTTGACAGTGTTCCACCGAGGTGGAACATTGTCTCCGAACACTTCGCTGGAACACAGGGTACACCCGAACCACCCAGCTGGCACCACGAAGTGGTAGCTTGGCAAGTCAACACTCTGCCCCCGATTCCAGCGGCTATCGAACATATTCGCGGGAAATACACGGTCATTTCCGTGAAGGACGGTAAGTGCACGAAGATACCAGCACTTTAAAACTCCATACTGTTGCTGCTTTCCATGCAACACGACCAGTAGCTTACACGGCATTGCCATAAGTTACAGGCGGCTTGGTTCCATCCTGGATTGCCGCTCGTATTGGAATACTTCCGTCGACTCTGATCATGCCCATGGTACGCTGTCGTTTTTCCATGAACTTTACCTGGAGGTATACCAAGCATCTCCCTCGATTGGCAGCTGAGAAATTGTCTGCCTTTGGTCAAGCAAGCCTGCCAAGATGCCCTGTGTACCGAATTTTCGCTCTCTAATCCTAATGACACTGAGCTTCAATGGAATAGGATCTCGACCGCCATGTACGACATAGAAGCATATGCTTGTGGTCCTATCAATCGTCACCACACCAGTCACTGGATATCCGAGAGGTCAGTGAATCTGTTGGCATCCAGAAGAAACCTCCCTGCTAGCTCTGAGCACATTGTGACTAATCCGACTATTAGGCGGGGACTAAAGTGGAGACTGCGTACTGACAAGGACGTCTGGTGGACCAAGTGGGTAAAAGAAATGGAGGCAAGAGAAGTAGGCAATTATCGCAAATTCTTCCAGCTGATCCGCACCACTGGTCCCAGGAAACCAAGCGTCCTTGAGACAATCAGAGACAGCGGGGGTGCACTGGTACACAATAAGGAGCGCCCTTATGGCTCATTGCCCCTTGCTCCCGGACCTCTTCCTACTCAGGTGATGCAGGACGAGCCATGGACGGATAGTTTAGAGGCTCCTTCGTAGGCCGAGGTCCGAAACACGATCACAGCCCTCAATCATTTTCGTGCCGCTGGTCCGGATTCCCTCCCACCTGCACTATTTAAGGATGGAGGTGAGGTCCCCTGCAAAGCACCAACCTTCCTATTGGAACATGTTTAGAAGGAGGAGGGTATCCCGGCTAACTGGAGTGAATCGATTATATTGGTGGTATACAAGAACGACAGTCGCACAGACTGTTCTAACCATAGGAGTATTAGCGTAACGCCGGTTGTGACAAAATTACTGACCTCGATTCTCGTTTGTCACCTCACTGTAGAACGGGAATCTCGGATTAGGGAAGAGCAGGCCGGTTTCCGCCTAGGACGTGGCTGTATATACCATGTATTCACTCTGTGGCGGTAGCTAGAGCAGCGCCACGCATACTGCAGACCGACAATAGTTGTGTTCCTCTATTTCAAGTGTGCGTTCGATTCAGTAGATCGATGCATTCTGTTCGAAATACTTGCGCGGAAAGATGTTCCCACGAAATATGTGAACATCCTACGTGCTTTATACTCGAACACTACAGTCCGCGTCAAGGTCTACGGTGACCTGTCGGATAGATTTCTGATCACAAGTGGCGTTCGTCAGGGTTGTCCGGTTTCCCCATTTTTGTTCGATTTCCTCGTGGACTATATCATGGAGTGTTCCTTTGCTGAATCTCACGATGTAGGCGTTGAGGTCATACTTAGTGAAAGATTAGTTGATCTTGATTATGCGGACGATATCGTCTTACTTTTCGACGATGTTGCGGCGGCACAATCAACCCTGTATAACCTGTCTAAAGTGGTCCCATTGTTTTGTATGTGCTTCGCACCTTCAAAATGCAGTGTTGCTGCAGGACCACCAGCCACTTTATGACCCCTTGACCTTTGCCAACGAGGAACTCGAGATGGTTGAGCAATTTACTTAGCCAGGCAGCTGCATCAGCAACGATGTGCCCATAGAAACTGACGTTAGCTCACGCATTGCAAAGGCCAGAACTGCCTTCTTGTACCTGCGGCATCTTTGGTGACAGAAGGGAGTTTTCCTCCGTCTAAAAGGCCGTGTATACAAGACCACAGTGAGGGCCGTTCTGCTCTATGGGAGTAAAACCTTGGGCCCTTCGATCTGGGTAACTGCGACGCCTTCAAGTCTTTGATCATCGTTGTCTGCGAAGCATTGCTGGTGTCGGATGGCACCAGCGTGGCCGTAACGATGATGTGCGTAGGTGGGTCCTAGTTAGTGATAATCATGCTAGGCAAGTTGTCGTCACCCTTTAATATCTCCAGCGGCGTGAGACAAGGATGCCCGCTGTCACCTTTCCTCTTCAACTTCGCTGTTGACGAAGTCATGGAAATTGCGTTTACAGGACACGACTTAGAAGGTGTGGATCTGCTCACAGGAGAACGACTTCTTGACTTAGAGCATGCTGATGATATTGCCCTAATCTGTGACAGCTCACAATTGTGCCAAGCGGCACTGGACAGATTAGCACTAGCTGTCCGTCACTTCGGGCTTTGCTTCGCACCCTCGAAGTGCAAAGCGTTCCTCCAAGATTGGTCTGGACCGCCTCCTACGCTGACCGTTGGTGGGGATCAGCTAGAAGTCGTTCAAAAATTCAACTACCTGGGAAGTTGTATCAGCGCCCGTCTGATGGATTGAAGATGAGATCACGAATCCTATAGCAAAAGCTCGGGGCGCTTTTGATAACCTTCGCAACTTATGGCGCCGGCGCGACATCACACTTGCCCTGAAGGGTAGAGTGTACAATGCAGCAGTACGTTCGACCCTACTGTACGGTTGTGAAACCTGGCCGCTTAAAGCAGCGGACCTGAAGAGGCTAGTTACGTTCGACCACCGGTGCCTTCGTAATTCAGCTCACATCTGGTGGGAACACCGCGTGAGCAACGAGCGTGTTCGACGCCTCGTTTACGGCACAGGAAAAGGAACTGAACCGCTCAGCAGCGTTATTTCACGCATCAGGCTCCGATGGCTCGGCCACATGTTACGCATGCCAGCCCACCGACTTCCGCGACGTGTGTTGTTTGCGCGCCGGGTGTGTGGGTGGAAGAAGAGGAGGGGTGGCCAAGCGATGACTTGGTCCAGAGGAATGAAGACCCTCACTTCTGAGCTGGCCTCGGTTGGAGCGTCTCGGCTCCCTGGTTGGGGTCCGAAAGACGATGAACACGTTTGGTTGGGCACACTTGCTGACATGGCAAGGAGCCGACCTCAGTGGCGTTCGTGCTGTGAGTTTCTTTGTCCCACCCATCCCTCTTAGCCTCCCCCTCCAACCACGATCTCATTATTTAGCCTTATATAACTTTGCATAATAATTTTTTTGGTGCACAGCAGCCGGTTGGTAGCTTACCGGAACGATGCCCATCCGTTACCGGTTGCTCAGCCAGCTTGCACCAGTTGCTTTTTCTCTCTCCTTTTTTCTGTGTATTGCGGCACAGTAGCTGAGATGTTCCCCACCTCCAGCTATCGTGTGCTATGATGATGATGATGCTAGCTTCCTAGAACAGCAGATAGCACTGAATAAGTTGCGTTGGCTTAGGCCCGTGTTACGTAAGCCTGGTCATCGGTTACCTAGGATGATCTTGTTTAGTCTGTCAGGTTTAAGGTGGCGCAAGACTCGAAGCGGACAGAAGTTGACTTGGCAGCAGAAAATGAAGTTCCTGAGGGCCAAACTGGGTG